AGGGTTTAGAGTTTGGGGTTGAGGGCTAGGGTTTAGGGTTTGGGGTTGAGGGCTTAGGGTTTGGGGTTGCGGGTTTAGGGTTTTAGGGTTTTAGGGTTTAGGGTTCAGGGTCTGGGGTTTGGGGTTTAGGGTTTAGAGTTCAGGGTTTAGGGGTTAGGGTTTTGTGCAACAGGGTTCAGGATTTGATGTTTCGGGTTTATCGGGCTTTAAAGTTTAGGGCTTGTCTTGTTTAGGGTTTAATGGTAGGTCTTAGAGGTTGAGGGCTTCACGGGTTTCTCAGAATTTTCGGGCAGTTTCGTTTGAGTGGTTTTTGGGCTGTAAGGCTGAGGGTTTTCATAATGAAGGCCGATTAAGTTACACACCCTGAAAGCACCAGAGCCCTACACGCTTAAAGCTCTTGGAGGCCAGATTTCGTTCAAGATTTCCTCCTTCCTGAAGCTACAACAAATAGAGCTTGGGAGAATCAGTATCAATACCTCTGTATAGACCTTGCGTGACCTCACTGTAGCGCCAAAGTCCGATTCCAACCATATTCAAGGTTTGGCTTTGGGATTAGCCTAGGCTTAACCCAAAAACCCAAAATTCCAAAGCCCCCCAAGCCCTAATTAGACCGTTACTGTTCCTGGTTCCGTTTCATTTCAGGAGCTTTAGCCGCCTGGGTTTTCTGGGTTAGAGTTTGAGGCTTAGGGCGTCTCCGTTTACTTGTAGAGGCAGCAATACTGTGAACCTTTCGGTCTAAGATGATGCCTTGCTGCCGAGTAGTCATGAGCTGTTTGCCTGTTCCATGCAGCTGCTAAGTAAGGCCTAAAACCTTACTTCCACCAGTCCTAGTGCTGCCGAACAGAGCCTCAGAGCCTAAAGAACAAAACAGAACCCCAAAAGCTTTCAAGCCGATACCAAATTTAGGCTTTCGACGGATTCGTTTGGATTGCGGGTTTAGGGCTGTAGGGTTCAAAAGTTTAGGGATTTATCCGGAGGCTTTTGGATTTGTTTGGGACCGGTGCTTTCCAACCTAAGGCTTACTGTATTGCTTTACAGTAGAGTACCATAGCAGGGGCCACTATCAAGCATCAGTCGCAAACCCCCCACTTGTACATGTAAATGACATACAGATTCAGGGTTTAGGCCTCAGCCCCAGACTCCAGACCAAAAAAGCCCTAAACCTGCGCAGGCCGGAAATGGAATTGGGCTCTTTGGCTTCTGAGGGCTGGGCGCTTGGCCTTCGCTGTGCACCCGGCTGCGTTCTGCTCCTTCTGCCACAAAGCCCTAAGGTCTAAACACCAAAAGCAGGTTCAGCAGAGAGAAGTCCCACAACACTAAAAAAAACAACAAAAGCCAAGAACCCTACAGCCAAACCCGAGCCCTCTGACCCGGCAAAGAAAAGCGGCGTCACAAATTCCAAGTCCTAGACCCCCAAAACCCTACATGAACTCTGGCCCCTTGCCGAAAGCCCCCAACGATGGCAAGGGTTTTTGGGGTTTAGGGTTTGGGTCAGAGTGGTGAGGCGTTACATCTTTTCACCTCAGCATAAGCTACGTTCCCCCTGGGAGAAGGAGGAACATGCATGTGTTAGGGCCTAAGATAGAAGAGTAAGTAGCAACAGCTTTTTTTCGGGGTTCCCACCACAAAGCCCTACAGACATAGATGAGGTTGTCTCAACCCTAAAAGTCCTGCCAAGGCCCTTATCAGCCCCCTATAAAACCCGAAACCCTGGTCTCTGCGCCCGGGATCTGCCCCGTGTAACTGAAGTTTTAGGGTTTAGGGTTTAGGAGCGCAGTGCTCTCTCAACTCCTGCTAATGTGGCCGAGTTGTTGTTGGCGGGATGGGAGGTTCAAAGGTTATGGTGTGGGGGGTAGGGTTCATGTAGGCTTATCTGTTTATGGATCTATCGATCTACCTATCGATCTACCTATCGATCTATCTATCGATCTATCTATCTATCTTCCTACCCATCGATCTATCTGTCTATCTGTCTACCTTTCAATCAATCTATTCATCTATCTTTCTATCTATCCATCTGTCTGTCTATCTATCTATCTATCTATCTATCTATCTATCTGATCTCTCTATCTGACGGTCTGTCTGTGTATCTACCTACCTATCTACCTATCTATCTAGGCATTTTTCTATCTATACAGCTATCTAGGACCTTACTTTATACGCAGGGCTCACCTAGCATTTCGGGCTTTAGGTCTTGAAACCCACAGGCCGCTTCATCCTGCCAGAGAATCGATTTAGGGTCTAGGGTTTAGGATTGACTGCTGTTCGGTTTCGGGTGTTGGGTGTCCGAAGTTAGTTGGTTGGAGTTTCCAAACCTCCTCAGCATTGCACTTCCATCACAGGAACAGGTATCTTCCTTACAATGTGTTACTAGAGGCCCCTACGCTCAGGTGGAATTCTAACTGATCCCAGATCTTCGTTCTCCACCATACTGCAATTTCCCTAAACCCCTGAATCCTAAACCCTAGCTATATAGCACTTTTGCACTTTGGGGTTCAAGGGTCCCTGACACTGATATGGTTGAAAAACTATTCCTTTGTTAAGGAACCTCCGGGTGCCTATCGAACGCATGAACGCTGTATACACTAAGGGCAAACTTCGTACTGCGAGTGCTGATGTTAGTTAATGATGCGCCCATGCGCTTCTGTATCGCATGCCCTCGTAGTCAGAAGCTGTGTACTTGGCTGCATGTAAAGTTCCCACAGACTTCCTAAGCCCTGCACCTTCAAGATCTATCCCCAAACCCCATCCACATTTAAATCCTAGACCCTGGGCGCAACAGACCTTACACTCTAAACCTTGAAGCCTGTAGACCTGAAGGCCTAGACCCTCAAACTCAAGGGACTAAAGGAGGGACCCTCAAAGGGACCCTTGGGGTTCTACAGGGGCTTTATGAGACTAATAAGGTGCATACAAGGGTTATATAGGGTATTAGGAGTAGGGGCCTCCTTTTGTCCCTTAATAAAACCCCACTAGGTCCCCCTCAGCCTCCCAGGCAGCCCAGGCGTTTTCGCTGGATGCCACGTGGCGTCAACTCTTTTTCCACTGAAGCTAGTGTTTTATGTTTAGGGCTTGGGGCTCTATTGGTTCAGGGTTGAGGTCTCTGAGGGCTTTGGGATAATAAGGTCTCTTCGGATTTAGGGTTTAGGTCTTATGGTTGTGGTGTTTCTAGGGCTTCGAGAAGGAGGTGTAGAAGCGTTGCCTTGGAGTTCTTTCAGATGGATTAGGGCTCCGGATTCTATGTCTTGGATTGGAATTTCGTGTTTGGGAGTTAGAGCTCAAGGGTTCAAATGGTTGACGGTTCAGGGTGCAAGGAATGAGTGTTTAGGGCTTAAGGGGTTTATAGGGCTGCGTGGGCGCATTCTCGGCATGATCTCGAGAAGAATTAACCACATCATCATCATCATCATCATCGTCGTCATCTTCGTCAGAGCCAGACGGGGCTTCTCTGGGTTTCCGGGTGTGGGGTCTGGACGGTTCAAGTGCTTATTTAGGATTCGGATTCGAGGACAAATGTTTCGAACTGCGTGTTTGCTGTTCGATTGCTGGTGGCACATGTTTAGGAGTGTTTCAAGGTGGTAAGGGCCGTGGGGGTTTACAGAAATAGCTTTAAACAGATTGCTAAAAAAAACCTTGCGAAAATGATTGCGATCATGAGCAGATGAAGTAGCGAAAATGAAGCAGCAGTCGAAAGCATGAAGGCAGTTGGTCTTGGACTTATCCAGGTCTGGTTAGCTTCGAACCGTTAATCGTATGTGACTACTTGTACAAGAGGCCGTTTGTTTGGGGACCTTCGTGCACTGTTTTTAGAATGTTAAGGGCTCAGGGAACGGGCTCAGTCAAGTTACTCGTTGGTTGCAAGTACCTTGAGCTGGGTTGTCCCCCCCTCTCCAAATTATTACACAGCTCCTGTGTCAGTCCAAGATCCTAAACCGTCCAGCCCCAAACACTGAAGCCGGTAAACCTGAGGGTTTGGGGTTCAAGGTAACCATCTACTGCGCGGCGCTCACGGCTTGTGGAAGGGCAGGCACGGGCAATGGTTGTGTTCTGTTGATGTTGGCCTTTTTCCGCAGGCTTTTGTTGAATAGTTTCTGATAGACGAGTGTTGTCTAATCCTTTCCCCCTAATATTAAGTTGGGCCCCCCCAAACATTTACTTGGAAAGTGTGCTTATTATTGAGGAATTAGGCGTATATTTTTGTTTATCTCTATTGTCAGATTTGGGCACAATAGTAATTAGTGAGACTAGTAATTAACACAAAGACAGACAAGGAGACAGAAAGAAGGGATCATGCGGCCGCTCCGCACAGTTCATCATTGCGTTGAGTTCGTGTATCGTGTTTTTTCAGGGCGGTGCATGAGACATTGGGTTGAGAGCTGCAGATCACCCCAACCCCACTACCAAATCCAAACCCCAACACTAACCCGCAAAACCCTCAACCAAAACCTTTGCCATAAGTTGGTCTTGAATGGCCAAGTGCAAAGCTTAGCACAGCCAATTTAGAACCCTTATCTTATCAATTCCCACAAACTCGAGATAGAACCCCAGAGCACCAGATTAACGCCTTCCCAAATGCCCTTACAGGTAAAGACCTGTATACCCAAACCCTGAAAAGGCCGCCAAAACAACCATCTAAAGCGAAGTATAAGCCCTTTGCATTGAAAACGATCTTGGGCCAGATCCCGCCCTAAACACATCGAAGCAAGAAACAGACGCAGTTTGGGCGGGAGGTAGGGAGGGGTGGGATTTTGCGGAAGTGTTTGTTGGGAGTGAGAATTTCGGGTCGTAGCATTAGAGAGTCGAGAGTTCACAAGGAGTTGATGGGTTGAGTGTGTAGTATCGAGTTGGTGCTTCCCCTCCAAACCGAAACCTACTGAAGCAGCGAAGCAACCTCCAACGATGTGAAAACTCCACACGGAAGACTCGCGATACCCGAAGCATTCCTCGATACACCTCCACAGCGCAAATGTTCGAAGGCCAATGGAGGCATTCCATTGCTCTGTTGGATGAAATGAGTTCGGCGCCCAGCAGCCCTGTGCTCCCGAGAAGCCTACTCGGAGGATCATGGGACTTCGTAAGTAAGGTTATGAGTCCCTTAGTTGGGGTTATAAGTATAGATACCCCTAATTATTACCCTACTTACTAAGTCCCATGATCCTCCTAAACCCTAAATCCTAAACCCTAAACCCTAAACCCTAAACCCTAAACCCTACTTACTAAGTCCCATTTAAGTAAAGCCGCCAACCTCCAAAGCAAAACCCCTGAACTCAGCCCCAGCTCCAAGCGCCGCAACCATGTCTAGGCTTTTAGGGTTTAGGGTTTAGGCTTTTAGAGTTTAGGGGTTCATACGAATGTACGTAGAACTATGAGTAGCTGGTGATAGGTAAGGTTCAATTCTTTTTGGGTTCATATTGTGCTCCTGAACATGGCGGCTTTGTTACAGCTGCTTCGGGAGGGAGAATGCAGCAGCTGTGATAGGTAGGGTCGAAAGTAACGTGCGACCACGCTGTCGCTTTTGCAGGGGCTTGTGCATAGAGCACACGGACATGAACCGACGAGTGGTGGCTGGCTTCTAGAGAAATGCTGAGTCTGTACGATTTGGATTCCTAAACCCTAAAACACCACAACCCCTACCTTCCCAAACCCGAAGAGCTTAGTAGCTTCAAATAACCCTACTACATATAGTCTCCATTGTAGCTTCTCTTTGGGGTTACGCCACAGGATCCTAAATACAAGCGTGGTGAAACCGACCAAAGGAACGACAATGGAGACTGTAGGGATTAACGGTTAAAACCCAAAGCCCCGAACCTTGACTTCTAGCCGACATGGAGGATGGCTGGATGCTGTGCGACTCCCGTTCATTTGGATTCGGAGTTTATGCGCGGATCGTTTCGGATGTAGGACATTTGGCATGTAACTACTAGGATCTAAGAACTAGGATTTCATGAGGGCCTCGGATTTTGGATTCTAGGCTACCCGGTGAGAAGCTTCCAAAGCCCTACAAGACAAGGCTCTGCGCAGCTTGCCGCAGACAAGGCGGATCACCCTAAATGGTTTCAGCGCTTTTAGGGCTTGCTAGACCTTAAACCCGAAACACCCCAAGCCCATTTAACAGGCCCTGAGTCTGAGCTGGATTGGTACATAAGACGTGCGCGCGAGGGGGCGCTAGCTTTACCGTCTAAATTCCAGAGTTTTCATGTCGTAACGCTGTAACAGTTCGGGCGCCTTGGGAGTTGAGGGGTCGCTGTCGAGGGACTAGTCGGCGTTATAGGGTGTGATGAGGGCTGTAAGGCTTACTCAAGGTAGCTTTTTTCATTAACCCGAGTGATCATCTGTCAGATCTTGCTTTCTGGGGCTGGTCTTGCGCCTGGTGCAGTACCTTGAACTACCAAAACCTACTTTTGTAGGGTCCCTAAACTGTCTAACTGTCTAGAACCTTGAACTTTCAACCCTGACAACAACAAACTATTCACGAACCAGAAACCCTGGAGCAACTCTTACCTTAAACCACCCATTAAGCAACACGTCAATGTAGGTGACTTGTGCGGCTGCCGTGGCGGCATGTGAACGTGCTGGAAAGCCTTGGGCCCAGCTTGCTTTAGAGCCTCATGTTTTGTCAGGGCCTTGGGCCCCCCCTTTAAGAGGTTTCGGGTGTAGGGTGTGTAGGGTGTTGGGTTTTTATTACTGCAACTGGCAAAATTTAAACGGCCCAATGTGGGACCCTCAGACAAGAGGGGCTGGGTTCCCTAAGCCCGAATTTGGTAAACACTACACCCGACAAAAATCTAAACCCCCCCCAAACCTTCGCATAACCCCCAAGTGCCCAAATCTGAAACCTTAAACTCTAAACTCCGAAGCCCTGAACCCCCAAACCCTGAATCCTAAAATGGCGCATTGATGAGGTCAGATCATGGTCTCCGCCTACTTCGAGGCACATGCGAGAGCCGTTTCGCGTCTTTTGAGTTTTTGTGTTTTTTGGTTTTAGGGTGCATTTGTTTAGGGCGGGGTAAGGGTTTCTGAACAACGAAGCCTCGTAGTCTTACCTCCAGTGAGTCTTTGGTGGAATTGACAAGGCAAGTCTAGGGCCCTACCTGTCGGGCAGACTAGTTGGGTTGAGGATTTCTAGGTGCAAAGTCACATTTTTTCGAAAATGTGTTGCTGTGTGGTGTCGTTGTATCTTGTTTGGTCGGGTTTCATGTCTGCTGGAACGCTAAACTAAGCCGTCAATTCTTCGAGCCCGGGACACAGTTCCAGGCTTCCACAGCGCATATCAGAGCGCTAATTGCGACGGCCGAGCCCCTGCTATGTAGTGAGAATCCATGCGCTTGCATAGTATATGCTAAGGCCCTAAGGACCTTACGAGTCCGTACAAAGGGCAACTGGACGAAACCCGAACCCCACAGTAAGCCTTATATCCTAAAGCCTAAAGGGCATAATTGGCTTCGGGGCGGTTGGGAAGAGCTTGCAAGCTGCAGGGCCTGAATGAAGCATTTTGGTTGCCAGAGGCTAGTTCCTTATGTACAAATTTGTCGGCCCGCATGTGTACATATATGTGAAACAAACAAACAGACACAGACACAGCCACAGACACGGACACAGCCACAGACACAGACACAGCCACAGAGACACACACACACACACACGCGCACACACACAGGCATGGATCGCGGACACAGAAAGCCAGTTTAGAGGTTCAGTTCTGTATGCATCTAAGGAATCACTGCCTTTATGTACTTCCAGAGTAATTCCGCAACCTCCCTAAAGCGCACACCATAGCCCAGAAATCCAAAGACTAGTTAAGCCACGCCCACAAACATATATCCGGAAACCGAATAGCCCCTGACTGTACACCTTCAAGCATACGCGCTCAACACGCATAGCACTAGTTCCCTTTTGTGTTTTTGTGTTCTATCTTTCCTTGTGTATGCAGACATGCAGAACACAGCCCTGAGCCCTAAACCACCTGATGCCCGAAAGCCTCAGCACGAAGTGGTGGAATGGGGTTAGGACAGTTTACCCATAGGCCCCATAGTAGTTCCTTTTTGGGATTACCCAATAGGATCCTAAATAAAGCCGCAAAAAGGAACTACTACTGGGGCCTATGAGTAGGGTCCTTAAAGTCCCATCGGCTCCTCCGTCCGGGATTCTTTGCCACGGTTTGTGGGGTTTCCTGGCCGAGAAGGGAGCCGGCCTGAGCCCTTTTATGAAATGGGTTTAGGGTTTAGGGTTTAGGGTTACCCATGTCAAGCCTCCATTGGAAGCCGAATTTAAATCTTATTGGGAAAAACACGGCATGTTAGATTTCTAACGAAGCTTATCTTGTGGACACCCTCTCGAAGCTTTTATTGAAGCACCACTAAAACGTCGTGCCATATCCGAAAAGCTCTACCACCGCCCATCAGCAGACCTGGAGTAAACCGCATCAGACTTTTCCGAAACCTTCTTGCGTCATTGAACTCCCACAGTTGTCGCATCCCTCAATCCTAAACTCTTATAAACCCTAAACCCTGCACTCTCGGATCTCTGTCGAACTCGAAGCCCCAGACCACCAAAGCCTCAAACCGAAGCCCCGAAGCCCAGCGCCGCCCACACCGAACCTTAAGCCTGAGGCCCCGAAAAAGCAATCAAAAGAAATTCTTGAAAACGCAATGTTTAGGGTTTAGGGTTTAGGGTTCCCCTTCATCTCTGCTTCCAAGTCTATAAGAGTAACCCCAAGGCCACCCAAAAAGACAAACACGGAGTATCCATCACCTCGTGAGGCACGGAGGACAGGATCCTGTCCTGGATGTTCGACGAGTGCGTTGGACAAAAAAGCTGCGTCGATTTGTTGTGGTCTAACGATATTTTTGTTTAAGTAGCGGGGTAGTATAGTAGTAAGCACGTGGCTTGCCATAATCATAAGGTTAGCTCTTGGCGCATTTGGTCAGCCAAATGAGCAAGTAGGTCAGGGATTGTGTCAGGCTTTACAGGCTTATCGCAGCTCTTTGGAGCAGGGTTCGATCACTCTGGATGTTTGGGGTACATGTTGGGATGCTTGTTCCAAGGATCCTCAATACTTTCGGGTCCCTTCTTCACTGCAGCTTCCATGTGACCTCCAGAGTCAGGGTCCCAACTGTACATCAATCAGGCCCCCGGCATAGGCGTCAGACTGCAATGAGGACTTCAAGCTGTGTTTGTGTATGCTAAATATGTCCTGTTCCGTTTTGACATGCCATGCTGTGGTTTGGTATGACATGGCATTGTATGGTAAGGTATGGTATCTGTGCTATGTATGTCCGACAGCGATGGGCACCAGCAAAGGCGACTGGGTCCCAGCTGCGGCTCTAAATCCACTGCGAACGAACGAATGAATGAGTGAGTGAGTGTGTGAGTGAGTAAAAGAATGGGTGAATGAGTGCTTTAATGATTGAAAGAATGGATGAACCTAATAGTGTATGTATGCAATCGGAGGGCTCCTTAACACTTCCTTTAAGGAATAAAGCCCTCTCCCAAACACAAGCCTCAAGTCCCAAACGAAACAGACAACCCTAAGCTTCCAAACCTGAAAGCCAGTACATAACACCCTCTAGAGCCCATAAGCACCGTTTACCAAGCTCGTGAACTATGCCGTTGCCGCCCCTGGAGAGCTCCAGGGCCGTGCGGGTTCGGGATTTAGGCCTTAAAACCTTACAGCATCCCTTATGGTAACCCTCATAGTACCCTTTATAGGCAGCCTCAAACCAGTCACTCCTGCACGAACCCAAGTCAGTCTCCACCGTACCCTGGCCCTACCTTGCAATACCTCGTTTTGCAAAATTTTCATGATGATTTAGGATTCTAAAGCAAGAGGATAGGGTACAAGGCCAAAAACGGGTACTATAATTCACTAGGTAAAGCCCAAATCCAAAGCTTTAAAGGCAAGATGGGAACCCGCGGCCCTAAACCTCTCAACTCTGGGGCCCTAACCCTGAGAACCTATACCCCTAAACCCTAGAAACCCCAAAACCCAAAGCCCAAAACTCTTCAATCCCTACATCGATCCTTAAACCCTTAACACCCTTGAATCCTTAAACCCTCAAACCTGCAAACTCGAACCCCCCCCCCCCCCCCC